AAAAGGTGACTCCAACCACAGGAATGGTTATAGGAGATAAGTAGGAGTGAGAAAAGAGATGAGGTTCGTGGGGAGGAGACCCTGTGGGTGAAGAGAGAAATGTGTGGCCAGCTGCATCTCAACTTCTTGCTTTCTTCTTCAAGGTAATCAAGGGCAACAAATCCAAGACATGTCTACTCAATCGTGATTCAAATATGGACACTTCACAAGAATCCTCCTAAAAGCCAGGATACCATTGGTAACAGTGCTCATGGAGATGAGATTAAAGTACAGAAAAAAATATATGTATATATATTTAAAATATATTACAAACAAAAACCAGCTTTAGTCTGTGGCTGTCACTCGGTGATGCTGTGCTCCCCTAGCAAGCATAAAGCTCTGGGCTCACTACCCAGCAACACAAAAATAAATGAATAATAAATAAATTTAAAAACAAATATGATATTCACTGATTCTAGAAAATGGGATTTAGAAGAGCCTTCTACTTTCTACTTGTCTGATTTCTAAATTCCATATTTTACATAGATAATTTCTATAATTTTTTTTAAAAAATCAATAATTTTTCTAGAGCAATGCTAGGCTCTAGTCACAGTTGAATAGGCTATGACCTGCTCAAAAAAAAAAAAAAGTTTGGTGATGAAATGCAGCCTGTGGTATAATTGCAAATCCCTTTGTCCTGGAAGGGTGGATATCTGAGAATCTGTCCCCTAAAAGGGCCACAATCAGGTACGTTGTCCATGTGGAGGTGTTTGTTGTCTGGTGATTAGCATGAACACACTAGAATGTTAAAAGAATTTCTGCCCCTTCCTGATGTACTCCCTGTATCTGAAATATGTACCAACAGGCCTCAGTAGCTACCCCCCCCACAATTCCTCCTCCTTACATTCCCTGTGTGTGAAACCATCAGGAAGCTGCCCAGGCACTTCTGCTGYAGGCAATCACTGAAGAGAACTGATTTTCTTTAGAGTAGAATAGCAGGAAGCAGATGTCTGCAAAGAAATTTTACTCTTGGATTTTTATCGATCACATATTGGTACCGGGTATTTTGGGGTATTTTGTAAATTGTTTTGTGTCCTTTAATCTTYCTATAAGCCCTAAAAGGTGCATGGATAGTTTTCTCCATTTTACTCTGTGTAGTGTGTGGCAGACAAGCAACAGACAGGCACACYCACTCTCCTAAGRACACTTGGRTGGGAAAGTAGAGAGCTAGATGAAGAATCCAGGGAGCAGTTCCAGTGTGGGGGAGGTGTGATGGGGAAGAATCTGGAGCTGAGTTGGAAATTTGGAGAGCATGGGGACATTTACCACAATACGCGTCCGAGACTACGGATGCCCTATTTGTGGCTCAATGCCCAAGGAGTATTATTGTATTGTATTGTTTTGCCATAAAAYGCCTCCTTTCTTTTTGTTTATTTTCTTATAGTTGACTCAGATGCTAATTAAACATTTTCTTGCCTATGACCTCACCAATAATATATATATTAATTAATATATATATATATCACATACACACATATTGTTATATATTTATATATAAATGTATAACAGTTCTATCAGTGCAGATGTGCTTACATGGTAATGTATTACATGGTATGGGTATGTATTTCTCATCTACTGTTAGAAAACTAAARTTCAAAGATATTTAATGAAGTGTCAAAATCACTTACTCTGCTAATTAGGAACAGAGATCATCCTGGGCTGTCAGCCTGCTAAAACTTCCTCTAAATTCAAACTTGACTTATGGACACTAAGGAAAAAGATTGCTTCATACCCAACTGATGTTTGTATTCTGAGTTGTCCTGATACTCTGATACTCTATGTAAACTTCCTACAATTTGCTATTCTTGAGTCTGTAGATGGTGGCAATTAAGAGTAAAGCATGACTTACAGGGGACTTGCCCAGTGTCCTTGCCCTGTTTTCCGTCATGTTGATTCCCCTTTGAACTTGTAAGAACTGGGTCTCCAACAGAGATAATCAAAAAAAAAAAATCACATTCTACACAAGAGTTTGCTTCTTTGTTTTGTTTTCACTTAAAAAGCTTCATCTAATTCCACAATCCCACTCTAGCTTACATCCTTGTGTCATACCGCATAGCAGAGCTCCTCCTTGGAATTAAAATCAACTAAGAAAAAGTCAAAATCCAGAGCTGCTTCTAGATTTGAAGCATGTGGGCCAAAGAGGTCAGCTCAGCTCACAGAAATGCTAATCTGCAAGCATAGACATCTGACAGATTGGGTGGTACCAATTGGTTTTAAGCTGTCCAAGACAGAGAAGTGTCATTGTGAAGGTTTCTGGGGTATCCAAATATGAGAGTGATGAAAAGAGTCCTGGAGAGCCACTGTAGACCCTTCACTACTGTAACTCAGAAACTAGCATTAGCTGGGGGAGGACTACTGCACCACAGGTCACCTGTGGAAAAACCAAAACCAGAACTCTAGCACTCACAGACCGCCATCSGGARCTTCACTGGTCTGAATRTGATCCAACTAAAGGGAACAAGTAYAYAGTGACCCACAAGTAATTTAGGGACACTCCAAAGCCTGCATACGGAACTACTGCAATCAATAGAAGCACCCAACTCACCACATTGAACCCTCTATCARTCAGATGCAGGCTCCTGAGCTGACAATTCAGAAATTCCTGGTAGTTTGGCCCCTGTG